AGTAAAATAAAAAAAACACTGTTTAATATACTTCAAACAATTTTAAATAAAGACTAATAAAGATATAGGACTAGAAAACACGTTGTTCAATGACCTTTATTCCATCCTTCCAACAATGCAATCACTATTCCTCAAAATATACTTCATCAAAGTATCATTCTTTCATGGAAAATTACTATAAAATTCAAGCATAAATCCAACAAGGTGTTTCAGAACCAGAGGGGTTGTATAACCTGCTCCAATCAGAAGGGTTATGCTGGGTTAACATTTTTCTTAAAACCTTTTTATATATTCATACCCGAGAAACAAACTAGATTAGCTTACGTTGAACAGTATATTTTGTCAGTCAATCTAAGAACTTTTTTAATTAAAACCATTACAATCACACACCTTGAATTGCAACCGTTTGTTTTTTGACCATAAATGGAATTTAATGTATTTAATCTGTAAGACCAAACTTTATCATTGCTTGTTAATACATATATTATATACATGAAACAAAACAAAAAAATATAATATTTACATTGAATTATATTCAGTAGATAAAGCATGTTGTGGGATTTTCCAACTCAAGCGACTGAGCAATGAAGCGCGATATTTTGTTTGAATAAAAAATTTGCAAACAAATTGTCGGATGGGTTTCAGTCTCTGGGGCCAACGTTGACAAATATCTCACCACCCTTAGCCTCCCCAGAGATGACGGGATATACAGTGTGAATCCATACTTCCTGTTATACCAGGGTAGAGGGGGATGGGAAAAACTGTGTTACAAAATCAATTTATTTAATAACATTTTAATAATTAGTTGTGGCAATGTTAAACAAAGCATTGTTATGCAATGATTTCGTAATGTTTCTATGGATATTGAATTAATAATTAGTTCTATGAATACCCTAGTGGATCATTAGGTTGCGTTAGGTTAGGTTAGGTGAGGGTTCTTGCCTTAAAATGAATGGTTCAATAACAAGTTGGGTATTTTAAGGGGCTTGGTTAGGTTAGGCTAGGTTAGGTTAGGTTAGGCTAGGTTAGGTTAGGTGAGGGTGCTTGCCTTCAAATGAATGGTTCAATAACAAGTTTGGTATTTTAAGGGGCTAGGTTAGGTTAGGCTAGGTTAGGTTAGGTTAGGCTAGGTTAGGTTAGGTGAGGGTTCTTGCCTTCAAATGAATGGTTCAATAACAAGTTTGGTATTTTAAGGGGCTAGGTTAGGTTGGGCTAGGTTAGGTTAGGTTGGGCTAGGTTAGGTTAGGTGAGGGTCCTTGCCTTCAAATGAATGGTTCAATAACAAGTTTGGTATTTTAAGGGGCTAGGTTAGGTTAGGCTAGGTTAGGTTAAGTGAGGGTGCTTGCCTTCAAATGAATGGTTCAATAACAAGTTTGGTATTTTAAGGGGCTAGGTTAGATTAGGTTAGGTTAGGGATCTTTCCTTAAAAATTAATGGTTCAATAACAAGTTGGGTATTTTAAGGGGCAACATATCATTTCGTTATTAACGATATTAATGATAATACATAAAAAAGCATTATGTAAGGAGGTAACTGACCCAAATTTTGAACTACTTTCCTTACAAAATGTCGCTGTTTTTATTCTGTACATACGTAGCAAATATATACATCATGTTTCCTTGGTGAAACACAGCTGCTTTGATTACATGTTACATAAAGGAGTTTATTTTTAACCACAAAACAGCTTTGAGAGCAAGAAAAGTTTGTTGATAGACGAAATTTCAGGACTAAGTGCAGTATAAATCATTCAGGAGCCTTTGTAATAATGACAGCTGTTTCCCAAGGAGTTGGAAAAGAATTGGTTAAACAACCACTCTACATAATTGGTCTTTGAGCTGCAGATGCAGAGTCAAGGGAATTTACAAAGCTTAAGCGGAACTGTTATTTAAACTACAGTTATAGCAACAGTGGAAATACTTAAGAGATATTAAAATAAAAATACCCCTGCATCAGCTTACCTGCAGACCAAGCAAATTGACATTTGCCACATTTGACATTTGTAGGATTGTCAGTAAAATGTGTCCATAAAATGTAAAGATTAATTCCCTAATTACATAACATTAGGACTAACTAGTTTTTTTTATTTGGGGGGGGGGTTTGTCCTAGGATGCTAGACACGAGCCCAGAATTGTTTTTTACATTACTTCAGGCTAGACCTACTTGTTACGGCATTATCACTTAGATAGAATCCGTTGGTGATTTGGCGGGATTTGAACCCGGGACCCCTTGAACCGGAGTCTTACGCTCTAACCACTAAACCAGCACGCTCCCTAGTAGTTAGGTTTGCTGCTACAAGAAAGGTTTACAAATGTGTTTTAAGTATAAGTTAATATGCATAAATTAGTATGAAATGATTTGATTTGCCAAGCTTGATGAAAATACAGAATATCTATAAACAAGTAAACTGTTTTATTCTCCATTAGCATAAAGTACAACTCTTTAAATTACAACTTTTTTAATGTTTTGCGTAAGTAATAACCATACAAACACCCTTCAACATAATAAAATTGTTTTTTAGATCTTTGAAATGGATTCAAGAGAAATTGGTAAAATATTCCAAGATTTGAGGGCAACAATAAGAACCAACTATTCCCCCCCCCCCCCAATTAACCCCCCTAAATATAACGTGAGTCCAGGATTTACCTTGAAACCTACAGTAATAGGTTCCTACATGAGAAGTTCACTAAAGAAACGGAGCAAAGTATTTCTTTTATGAATACTTTTTATGAAATAGTAAGTTATTACTACTTTTAAAGCTATATTGATATAATTAGATGAAACTCATATATTCTTTTCATCTTTTGTGTGGAAAATCCAGGTTTAAATGCTGGAGTCAGATATTTTATGTCATTGATCCATCATATCATTAGGCTTACTGAATGGCCTGACGTCGGGTTGTACAGGAATAGGTCCTGATTTATTTTATAACTAAAATATCCCAAAAAAAAAACCATAACTAATGGTTTAAACATTTTATTATTGAGGCATACAATCACCACCTAAAATCTTTAATTTAGTACTCTTTCTTACTTTTATAGTTCAAAACATAACGTGAAATCTAGTTTATTAGGCAGTAACAGAACCGTAATGGCACCGTAGCCAACCCTATAGCACAGGTATCATACGACAATTACATTATACAAGGTGCCTTGTACCTCAGCCCGTGCTGTATGCATTTACATGCTGAACACCAGATGGGCCGAATGGCCATAAACGTGTCTAAAGCGTATATATTACAACAATTGATCACCTCTAACGCCTATTCTCACAAACCTTCTGTAGCTATGAAATGAAGATGGTTTCAAACATTTTTCCTAAGCTTATCTTATAATGGATTTATTGGCTGGAGGGAATTTTATGTGTTTTGCCGATAACTAAACCAAGATAAAAATTAAACATCGGGCGCGGTTTCTTAATTGTTGGTAATATTCCAGCTTAACAAGGTATTATGTAAACATAACCACAAAGTAGAGGAAAAGCTGGTTACGCTGTTTAAGCCATGTAGTGGATTTAGGAATTGAGCTTAATGCTTTTACCGATACTTTATTAAGCTTATTACTACTGCTCAAAAGGCAGTCATATGTGTATGTATTTGTCATGTATGTGACTCAAATAGTTTTAAGGTCATGATGATTTTATATTTTTCAGACTACCTAAACAGGGAGGAAATGTTGAAATATATGTTTATTGTGGCCCACATGTGCCAACTAGTTTTCACTGATATTACATGGCAACCGGTTTTGGTACAGAATAGTGTGCTATATTTACGCTGCATGGAGATATGCAGATATATTTATGATTATTTATACAGCTTATCTTATGACGCTTAGCATATGTAGAGTACAGCCAAATATTAAATAACCTTGCATTTAAATGATCATATTATATTTTTTTTAATTCGCATAACATTTTATTTTAAATATAAATATATAAGGTAAACGCACCAGTAGCTGACAGTATAAGAAACTATACGCACTTAATAATCCGTGGTTTTGAATAAATAGGAACTAAAGAGATATTACGGATTTCATGTGATTCTAAATTTAGTGTAGTTTTCAAATTTGTCATACAAAAAGGGGTTTTTAAATATATTTTATAAAATTTTTAAACTTAATTCAACCTTTGTACGTGTTCCAGTGGCTGACAGTGAAAAAAGTGCTTGTACCAGTAGCTGACTGTCAGTTGTCCCAGTAGCTGACACTGGCACTATAAATGTACTAGCTGCTAAACCTAAGGGTATTATAATTTATAAGACGAATACAATCTAACTTAATAATTAAATTATAAAATAATGTAAAACGTTATTAAAAAAATTTATTTTACATATTTTAAAATAAAAAATATTTACATTAAAAAATATATACCTATATATTTTATATATATTTAAAAAAATATACATTTTTTAAAATAATTTGGCTTATAAATTAAAAAAGTTAAATCATTTTATAAAAATGTGAGATCACATAAATTATAAATAACATGCAAATGTCGATGGGTAAAACCAATTTAATATTGTGCAAGTAGCAAATATCCCCTGTCAGCTAGTGGAACTTGTATGGCTTTTGTGTACCAAAGCCTGACATTGATATAATTTTAAATCCAAAACCCCTAACACCCCAATTTTTCATGAAATTGTCAACAAAGGTATAATTGATAAAAATAATGAGCCTAATCATTAATACTATTTAAGAAATTTAGCGAAATGACAAAAAACCAAACTTACTTTCTTAACAATTTCATTAAGGGAATCGACTAAATGTGATGTGTACAGACAGGGTCGCTTTCAAACCACCACCATTCCGCGAGTATGGGCTAAATTTCACTGATTTTTTTGTAAACAAATCAAGGATAAACATATGTTCTTCTAACAATGCAATCACGTGTAAATATTTTTAAGAGACCACATTATAATGTTAAGAAACTCAAACTGTCAGCTTCTGGAGCACTGTCAGCTACTGGTGCATTTACCTTATATATATATTAAATGGTACAAAACTTACGTCATTGTTGGTGTAGGCTATCGGGCCGTCGCTGGCTTCCCATTTATTGGCTATTCGGATGGTTTCGGCAGTCTTTTGCTGTATTGACTTAGTGTCATCGAGGAGGGTCAGTTCATAAAACTCTTGAATATCTGAAACAAAACAAAACATATGTAAAAGGTATGCCTGGGTGTATATTACCAAGGTAATATTATGTTGTCTGTAAAACATAGCCGTTATAGAAAATTATAAGTACATCCAAACTTTTGGTGAGTCGGTGGATCAGTCGGTAGCGTCGCGGACTTCGGGCCCAAGGCAGTAGTGTCGTGGGTTCGGATCCTGGTCACTGCCACATACTTTTATCAGTACAGTTCACCTTTGTACTGTACCGGCTCACCCCTTACTTTGCTGGATACGTTCCACGCACAGATGTGTAGTCTACGTGGACGGGCAAATGCAAGGTTAAAAGAGGCCGCCAACCTCTTAAGAAAACATTGATTAGTCCCACTATATATTTTATTTGTTATAAAAACATACTTCTACCACAGATAAAATTCATTCCAACACATTCCATAATAAAAGCTTATCTTATAAATATTTGTATGTGTAAAATATATATATATATATAATATAAAAATATATAAAATATAGGATGATACACATAAAAATTATCTTCCAAAACGAATTAAATAAATAGTATGTATTTATTAAGCTTTTTGTATTAAAAAATAAAATATTATACACGTGTACTCATAAAGATGAAAATCCTTAAATATTGCCCTTATTTTAAACAATACAGATTGTTTTCGTTGTACTCGATGATGACAAACTTTAAAAAAAGCATATAGATCTCAACCAAATGAACAATAAAACCTGCATGAATATAATTGCTTAAAGGTTTCTTCTTTTTCTCGTAATAACATTATGGATCAGTATTGAAGTGGTAGGAGTATTGATTACACTCTACTACTTATACAGTACTTTGTACAAAAATCGCAGGTCCCTTGCATGATCAAGGGTATACAGGTATTATCAAAGGCCGGCAAAAGGGCTAGTTTACAACATATCCACGGGTCTACAGTCGTATTTGCACCTCAAAGACCCGCTCGTTACTAACTTTTCATTTGTATTCTCAGACCATCTTTGCTTTTTGTAGAAGGCTGGTATGATTGCGAGATCCTGCATATTTACTGGAACATAAAAAGGACGATATGCTCGTTTACATCGTGAAGATTGTTGTTTTGTTTGTGTTCTTTTTGATATTTTTTTACTTTAGAGAACATGGTATAGTTAAAATCGCATGTCAACCTTTATCTGATTACATTGATAGTTCATTCTTTACTTTATACTTTCTTCTGAAATGGTGACCGTACAAAATACGTATTTTAAACCAAGTATGAATGGAGATGAGTGGCGTGACCCTGTACTTTTATTAGTGACTAAGGCCTACATATTCCTTACAGCTGTTAATTAATAGCCCATACAGCTAATGGCAACCAAGCGACCTACATAAGTGGAATCCGAATCACATTTTTGCCTTGGTATTAACGAATTGGGCAAACTATCAGGATAGTAGGCCTACTGCGGATAGTCGTAGTACTCACTAGTGCGGACGTTAATCCACACCAGGGAATATCGCATCTACAGTGCATGCTTTAAATATCCACAATTCGTGACCCAACGTCCCAGTCAGCCCAATGTTGAAAGATGCCCGGGGCCTGAATCAAATACGCTTTAAGCCAGTGACGCATTTGACCACAATTACTATAATCAAGAAGATATAATGAAGATAAAACAATTTGCATTTACTAACGTTTATTTAAAATGGTGTGTATATTTCCAAAACGTGGACCGTTTAATATCTTTAAAAAATTATTATTTTTTTACACACTGGGTTTTAATTATCAAGAATAAAAGCTACAAAGCTCTGTGTATGACCTACGCTTGTACACGTACACTAAGACCTAGAAACAAAAGCGTGAAATAAAATCTTTTGCCTTTTTATGCTTTTACCAGGAGATGCTCATGGGGGGCATTCGTAGCCAATATAGCCTTATTAAAAAAAAAAAATACACTGTGCATGTTTTCGTGTAATTGTAAGTATTTTGAATACTCTTCATAGCTCAAATGATGAGCGTAGTATTTCACTATAAATTAACATAATTATGTTTTTAGTGCTCGCATTAGCCAGTTGAAAGTATATTTATGATTCAGTCTAACACATTTGGTTCGAATAGTGACAAACACATGTTGTTAAAATCTTCACACACGTGAATTGTTTGAAAACACTTGGTGTTGTAACCCAAACACATATTGTGAGCATCTTAAAAACATGGATTGATTCCCTATACAAATTTGCCTATGAATATTTTTAGAGCGCTATCGGCAAAGGCAAATGAAATATTTATGAGTCAAGTCGCCAAGTGTGGAACACGTCCCGAGTATCGAGCGAGTTCATGTTTATCAAATCACTGCAACATCCTCCAGAGAATAGTAATGTCCCTTAAATGTGTCTCTACTGAAGCGTATGAATATGGTTTGATCAAAGAATCTCAAAACCTATTTACAGCCTTTAAATTCTTTGGTGGTATGTTACTGTTCAGTGCCATTACCAACGAGTACATGAAATCACTGAAATCATCCATCATTTTGATGTAAACATGCTTGATTCTTTTGTATCAGGTATTGATTATCTTGTCCAAATCACAATTATGTTTAAAGCATTAATGATTCATAAGAGGTTTCTAGATTTCGTTTCTATCTAAACTCATTATAATTATAGTAAATGTAATAGTAGGGCCTATATTTCGTACCTAAGGCCGAAAATGAGGTTTTGCTGGCTCGAGATCAGTTTTTAAGATCAAGACAAAGTAGAGAACGTAAAATGATCGAGCTGCAAAACTCTTTCAGCCCGTGTTGTACGAACACCATTTTTCACCACAAAAAAAAATTGAGAAAATATATACAATAAATGCACACAACGACAACATTTAAGGCTATGCGAAGAAATATTGAGAGAAATCTGAAAAAAATAGTAAATAGGCAGTGGTGACAATATAATAAGTCTATTGCAATACATAAAATGGATACATTTTACTGTAAGATGGCGAAAACCATTATAGTGTGGTGAAAAGGTTTTATAAGTTTGTAATAATTAGAAATGTTTCTCCATCAATAATAATGCAAACAGGATGATTGAATGATTTATTAACTATTTAAAACTAATATTTTCTTCCTTTAATTCAAACTATTAAGTTATTTCCTTTCCCCAACTCATACAACAGGAATAATTAACAACTCTCAAAACATAAAATTACGATTTAACTTGCTATTATCAAGATAAAAACCTTACAGCTTCTAAGTTCAATACACCATGTGCATTTACAATTCGATACATCCGGTCTGGTGAACAGGATAAGAAATCAAGAAAGCAAGGAAAAAACAAACGCACAAGAGAAAACTGTGTAAACCTGGTCGAGCGTAAGTGAGTTTGAAGGAAAGACAGACTTTTGTTTGCTTTGGTATCGAAATGTACCTTTGATACTGTATCGTGTTCCTGCGAAACAAACTCTACAACAAAGAATTACATGTTAGATTTGTTGCATGGCTTCTAGTGAAGGGAGTTGTTTAATTCAGAGAAATTTAACCTCCTTTCACTTTCTAGGTGGACCTGTAGTGTTCGAGGTGCAACACCTGCAGGTCTCAACATGAACCTAAAATCCATTGGTTAAGAGGTTTCCTGTACATTACTACACCAAGTTGGCCTCGGTATAATAAGTTCGATACCAATTCAATTCAATTCAATTCAATTATTTAAGATGGGGACGCCACTATGTGCGTATTTTAGCCCAAATATGAGTGAAGGATGAGTGTAGGATGAGTGGCGCGATCTTGTAGTCTTGTTAGTGACTAAGGCCGACATGTTCCTTAGACACAGCTGTTAATTAATAGCCCATACAGCTAATGGCAACTAAGGGACCTACAGTTTATAGTGGAATCCGAAACACAATTTTTCCTTGTAATTTACAAATTGGTATAATTATCAGGAAAGTACTGCGGATAGTCGTAGTACTCACTCGTGCGGACGTTAATCCACACCAGAGAGTATCGCATCCACAGTGCATGCCTATAAATATAAGTTGACCTCGGTATAGTAAGTGCAATACCAGTCAAACAATTAAATTTATTTAGTCTCAAATGCAATATTACTATGATCGACTTACTACACATGAATGTACTACAGGCTATCAAACAACTATTTGAATTCCTCTTCTTTGTCATGGAAGCTTTTAAATATATATTTTGTTTACAGTTGAGGGCTACTAGTGTTTTTAATAAGTAAGTAAAAAATCTAAACTTTTAGACCTCGTTAATTAATTAAAACGAACTAACCATATCTTTGACCAAGATCGCAGTTGAGAAATGATTGCATAACAAATTAATTAAAATAAAGTAGTTAACAAATGTATTCGTTGTCATAAGCACTCATTGGGACTCTTTCGAGACACAAAAAAAATTTCCTGAAGGATTAAAGGGAAATATCCTTCTGCTATTGTCTATAAATACAATAGGTTTTTAAAAGTCCTTGGAACATTTTTTTTATAATAATATTTGTGGGTTTGCCAGCTTATTTTTATGTATTCTATTTATATTTTTGATTAATACTTAGCTTAAGATTTTAAAATAATGAACCAGATCTATCGGTATCCATACCCAAGTACAGTTTGTAAACAAGTACGTTTTAAATTAGTGGTGTGAAGTGTCAACATGATTGAGGTACTAATTAAATAAATTACAACCAAAATGAGTTGATTGAACAAATAAAAACACAATTACCAACAAAATTTAGATAGCAGCTTAGAAGTAAAAAATCTCATTTATCACATTTCTTACATTTGGGTTAACTTCTCTGGAGATATCGTCTTTAATACCGTTAAATCAAATATTCAATAGGTCGCCGGTTCAATTCTGAGTAAAGTAGGTAGCAGTTTAATGGATATTGTAAACCATAGACCTACCCAGCTGTTCTTTAAAAATGGCTTCAAATAAATGACTAAACAGAAATATGCTTTAGCCAGCTGTAAAACTACACAGGTAATTTTGCTGAACTCATATTTAGATTTGAATACATAAATACATTGCTGTGTTATAA